GTATTTTATTATTTATAGCGTTTAATATAGTGTAAAGTAAAGCCTATATCTATTAAATAGGACCTGTAAGCCTGTAAGGCTATAACTATTAGATTCCTGTAAGACTTATAGTCCCTTCCTAAGCCTTAACCTCCTTAGTAAGACTTATAGGACCCTAAGGTTTTCCGCTAAGGTACTGTATATGAGACCGACTTATGAGAGCCTTGCCTTGGCGTCTTCCACGCACTGTTGGTTACACTGTGACAGACAGGTATTGTTCATCCATCAGGAGGCAACTGCTTGAATGAAGATGCCTCTTTTGAGCCATAGTTGAGCAAAGATAGCATGATCAAGCATCAGGCTGTGAAAAAAAAGTATTTAGTTAGCTAACTTCCCATTTCACTCCGCTTTGAACTATCCTATCTTATCAGCATTCCATCTCTTGCTAAGTTAAGATTTTGAAATCTAAGACAACCCAATAAGGTACCTACTTTTTGAATTGACCATGGCAGAGACTCAAGCAACAATTTCTCCTCCCTTTGAGGCTGTTTCAGCCATGCAGACCAACCCAGAAACGACTAGCAAGCCTGGTCTCGTGACAATCGGCACCGAGCCCATCGGCAAAAAACAACCTTGGCGAGATATTTTGCAGCCAAATGAATTCGTCCAGCCTGAATATTTCAAGGCCACTCCTATCGCTGCTAGCACGGGCAAGGTACGCTTGCTCGCAGAGCTTGACAGCAAGAGTCGTTAGGCTAGGCTCCTGTTATGGAGCCTATATTATTGGCCCGAGTACGTATCATGGACGGTCATGGAAGGATGTTCCTCATCTTTTTAATGACCAACCTTTGAATTCAAGAAGCTTGCTTAAGTCGTGAATTGTGGGCTAACTGATTTACTGGAGCAGTGCAAGCTTGCTTCTGATATTGGGCAAGGTACCTACCTACCCTATTGTCGGGAGGAAGGATACTGTCAGTAGGATAATGTTCTGTTCTAGGTACCTTAGTCGATGTCGGGAGTCAGTTTTGTCACAGTGGATATACCTACCTAACTTGGATTCAGTTGCGGTTTGGAAGTTTGGTGCTGAAGCAGGTTCGCAGAGACAATGTCATGCAGCAATATGAACGCAGATTTCGTTATCCCGCCCACTTTTTCGTCACCGTTACTACCAGAGAAACCTGGATATTTGTGCTACCTGCTATTGCGTTGAGTTCATGCATGGTGGACTATCCCATCTTCGGAGCGTAGGAAACACTACATTGCCGAGGTTTAGTGTAGAAGTAACACTACCCATTCATGTATGCACTTCAGATGAGTAGTTAAAGCATCCTGCAAGACGCTATTGATGGAAGACCCATTATAACAACATGGGTACCTGATACATTTAGATCTTCTGTTCAGGAGATTCAGCCTATTCTGGCCCATGCTTCCAGGGGAAGTCCCCTGCTGCTTCCTTCCTCTCCTCTCTTGAATCCAAGCATAGGACAGTTGAGAATCTTACCGTACTATGCTGTTGCCTTTGCTTCCATGCTGTTGTCCATGATAAGGAGCAGGCGTACCTCCACACTCTCACGCGGATCAGCCCAGTTGTCAGTGTGGGATGCACCTGCACCGTGTGGACAGCAACCTTGTACGAGTGTCAGAGGGGATGCTCTCTTTTCGTACCTAACCTCCAGTGTGAGAAACCAGAAAGGGGAATGACGTACTAGCAAAGTCCTCTCCCATGTCATCAGACTTCCATGTTGGAAACACCACCGCCTCATCGCATCGATGTCCAACGAGAGTGTACCATTGGTGGTAGTCACGGTGATAAAGGAAGTATGATTTCTCCACTTTATCAGGCAAGACTTTATCAACCTCGACGAGGTCTTCTTTCGGGACCGTTCGTCTATCACAAAACAACAATGGCGCATTGCAGACAACCTTGTTGAGGGGACGCCAGACGCTACATTTGCAGATATACATGTGTAAGCGATGAACACTGCCGTGAGAAATCGCTGGATAGCTGCGTAGGTAACTGCGGATTCACTGATGCTTTGCCGATGAAGATGTTGGGTCTTACTTGACAATCATTCCTTTGCGGCCTTTCTTCATGTACTCGGCGAGCTCGTCAGGAAGGAGTTGAATTTTGAGACGATCAAAACCACCGTCTGCCGAGTAGTCTGATAATCAGTCATCGCTTGGTTAGCAAAGTAATACCGATTGACACCCCCATACAGTTAGACAAACCGCAGTGAACCACATCTCCGCTTGGTAATGCATAATTGCGGATGTCCTTGAGATCACGAGGTGGTATTCCAGGGCCAGTTGTAGGGTCCCGCCGACGGAGCTCGAAACATATTAGTTGGAATGTCCAGGTAAAAAGGTGACGGATCAGGATTTTGATGGAAACTATGTTCAGCGAGACTCACCCTCCAATCAAAACATATAACATCCACGGGTTTGAACATGTTTCTGACAAACTCGACGGTTTCATCGAGATATTTGGTGAGTATACTGTTGTCCCCTCCAACCGTTTCGAAGTGCCTGGCGGCTAGTTCACAACCTGACTTGAACTGGAAGAAGGCAAAGCCATGAGTCTGAAGAGTGACTGGGTGCTCCCGGGCGTTTCGGACATCAATCTCCTTTGCTTCAAATACACAATTCTCACCCTGTGGGGTTGCCTCTTGGTCAGGATAGCCCACAAGCTGGTAAGGCTGTTCCTCCTGGTAGATTGGGAGTTCACAAAGAAACTTGAGGCTATCCCTCATTGTAAGAATCGAGGTAGATGCTGGTGAGCAGGCTTAGGTATTCTGTTTGTTGAGTGAACTCGACCCAAAAAAAAAGCATGTTGTCAGATTGGCTGTTTATATGCCAACAAATTCCTCGTTTCACGGCATGCTCATGTCGTCGATTCTGTGAAATGGGCCGCAGCGAGGCTCAACAAACCAAAAATGCGCTTTTCCCCTCAAAGCAATTGCGCATGCCCTGCCTTGGCCTAGAACCTGACCTCCTGTTCACTTGGACAGTCAATCATGGCAAGGCTCACAGTGGACAACATCTTGGGGCTCTCAAGGTAGGTAAGGTACCTATCTTCCACTTGCCGCCATTTCGCACCGCCCATCCAAATAAATTACCTCAAAATTGTCATTTTGTGTTCATGATGAGCTTAGCGGTAGAATTCGAAATATAGAAAGTTGCAGATGTCGTATTGCAGAGGGTGCAATACAGTGCGTCATGGAATGTGCCATACGGCTTGACAGAGAATGTGGAGTTGAGTGCCTCTGAAGTGTTCCCCCACAGAGCAGAGGGCCATTGGCTGGTTTTCTTCGCCGGTCGAGAAATGATTGGCCCATTTTTTCACCGGTCCGGGCCACGGCTGTACACATGCATGAGACTAAGAGCGCCACAGATAGGCGAACCGATCACTAGACGTGGTGTAGATTTATCAAAGTCGGAACTGGCCTCATCTGCGCTTGATTAAATGGTGACACGGAATGTGCAAGGCTTGGCCGATCCCCAAATGTTTGATTCGAGGAAGATATACACAGAAACGTCGCATCCTAGGTACTTGGTAAGATGCAGTCCCACCAAGACATTCCTGGGTAGAAATACACTTGGGCCTCCCTGGGGGTAACAACCAACATGGCGTCGAAGCCTTGGGAGCGACACCATTTTACCTGTTATCTCCCTGTCTCCTCATACTGGGGTGAATGCTTCATGAAATCTTTCGACACGTTGTGCGGGAGTTGTCGCTCAGACGGAACGTGCCTCATTGTGCACGGCAACTTCACGGAATTTCCAAGCTCCGACTTGATTCAATCGGAATAGCCGGGCTGGTCGGCTTATTTGTTGCGAGGTCGGTGTAGGGGTAGGTGATCATGCGGCAGCTCACATTTCGGAGCAAACCTCCTCCCAGATCCCAACTTCGCAAATTATCCTTCGACAGCGACCAAAACAAACAGACGACTGCCGCGTCCGCGTTGATCTAGTAAGGTCCCTGCGAGTATGGCGTCAGCACTTGGCAGCCAAATGGAATGCTTTGGCATTTTGTTTGGGCCATCTTGGTGGTATGCATACCGCACTGTAGATTGGGCGCTAACCTGCTACAAGTCTCTTGTTTGTCCCAGACCTGTGTGTGAAGGAACCCGAAAAGACGTTGAAATCCTCCTGGAAGCAGTTAAGGTCTTTCATTCGTTGTCCTTCCAACGGGAAGGCCCATGCATTGGGGTTTGAATATCATTTGGGTTCTCTTAGTGAAGAGGAATCAGTGTGGGAGTCAGTCAGAGCCCAAGCGAAGACATTGGTTGAGGTGTTGAAATCTGAGGTTGGCATCAATCGCGTGTTCTCTCTTGATTGAAGCAGGTGCTAATATTAGAACAGATAATAGTGTCACCAATCGTAGAGTCATCATCGATTGGCTCATCGCTCGTGGTCTTTTCTTATGGTCTTGGGGGCATTTTGGTGAAAGAGGTAACAGATTTCATGTTTTCATCCGGTTTCTAGTCACAACCTAGCAAGATAAGTAGGTACTAATTTTATTGCAGGCTCTGTCCATAATCTACCACGGCGACCAATCTCCAGCTTGCCAAAACCTACGAGAGCTTCACCAGGGAACCGTCCTCTTTGGTACTCCACACCCTACATTTGCGAACCGTGATCTCTGGGAGAATCTCACACTCACTCTACGCCACACAGTCAAAGAGCTGTCACGACTTCAATACATCAAAGCTGAGTTGAAAAACGCCCAGGTTGCCACAGTGTCAGAAAACTTCCAGGAAAGACTTCGAGACGTTTCAGTCATTACAGCATACGAAACATTGCCAACCAGGTTACAAAAAGGGTTAACTTGGAGGAAGACTATCGTAAGCCCTCCCATTTACCCATGTAGGCGTTGTGTTCATGTCAGCTAATCGGTTCCCTTCATTCTCCCTGTGTAGCTCGTTGACGCACAGTTTGCCGAGATCTCTGTACGGCACGAGAACCTGATTCGCCTGAACGCAGATCACTTTGGGCTTTTGGGCTGTGCCAATAACGACATTATGCTTGTTGACGCTATCAAACGGATGATTACCAAGGCGTTGCGGTGGGCGTCGAGAAAGAATTCAACCACCTCATCTGCGCAAACCCCCCCATCAGGCAACGATTGTGCTAGTATTCGGCAGGAAAGCATTCATGATGTGTTGTCGGAGGGCTCAGACGAGGCATGGGATATCATTGATCCAACTGATGCCGATCAATTCAGCCACGAACCACCACCCGGAACACGGGGAGACCTATATCTGCAGGTCGGACGTTCGCGGGAAGAAATCAATGTGCTCTCAGACCTTGAGTCATGCCCTCTTTCTTTACAGGCACCTTATACGACGCTCAAACCATCTGACCGTAACGTTCAATTTACTGGACGTCAAAAGCTCCTAGACTACATGGAGACCGTGTTGGTTCCTCGAAAGGAATCGAAATGTGAACTCAACAGAGAGCCACGCCGAGAGTTGGCGATACGTGGAATGGGGGGAGTAGGAAAAACTGAGCTTGCGCGTGAGTTTGCATTTTCACGACAGCACTACTTCGATGCCGTGATCTGGGTTGAAGCAGAAGAAGCAACACAGCTATCAGAAGGCTTTGAGCTTTTCGCAACCTACCTCGGTGCCAATACCGGTCAAGACCGGGTGGTTAGCCGAAATATCGCCCGCGAGTGGCTTAACAACCCTACCAAGCGACCGAAGGCCAGACCCAAGGATGCGACGGCGCCAACTGAAGGGGACGATGGTGCGGAGGACACGTCTAACAAGAAAGCAAGCTGGTTGCTCATATTCAACAATGCTGACGACCTCTCGTTACTCGAAGATTATTGGCCAGACAATCCAGATGGATCCATCTTGCTGACAAGCAGAAACTTGGAGGCCCAGGTCGGCAGGCTAACGCTAGACCTGGAACCATTTGAAAGGGAAGAAGCTGCCGATCTGCTTCGACAACTGACCCCTGGGATCGATCACACGTTGCCACAAAATGTACAAGCATCGCTGGATATTGCTGAACGACTTGGTGGATTGCCGCTAGCCATCACACAGATCGCTGCTTTCATCACAAAACGCGACAAATCACTGCCTGAATTCGTAGCTTTCTATGACCGATATTCCGTGGAGAAGCTTGCAAACGATCGTGCGTTGAGGTCTCGTGGTGCACAGTACAAGCATTCAATCTTCACCGTCTGGGCACTTGAAGGGTTATCTTCAAACAGTCGGTCAGTTCTCCAGGTTCTCTCATTCCTTAATCCGGACTCGATCAGGGAATCGCTGATCAGACCGCCGTTTCCACCCACACAAGTGTTGCCAGAAGAGTACCCGATGGACGAATTTGATTTTGATGAGGCACGTTCAGATCTGTCACAGATCTCACTGATCAGAAGGAACAGGGATGATGGAAGATTGACAGTGCACCGTCTTGTTCAAGACGTAGTGAGATCCCAAATGAAACGGCCTCGGATGTTGCAGATGCTCGAATTCGCGGCGTTTCTCGTCCTCAGCGGATGGCCTACCGCCTTCCTTCAGTTTGACCACGATACCGCGACATGGGAAGCATCCGAGGACCTTTTGCCACATATCATCAAGCTGAAGGGGTTCTTTGACCATTACTCGGCCGAGATCGAGTCTCCCGAAGCTCATCATAACTTAGCCAGACTCCTGCTGTTTGCCGGCTGGTTAGTAGATCTTCATGTTCCTCCACTCGCTGCGTCATAGGCTTACTAACAATGACTGTTTACAGGTACCTTCGAGAGCGTAATGATTTTGAGCAAGCAAAGCCTCTGCTGTTGCATGTCCTGCGCCTCTCCGATGCGTCTCTCGCTTCCTCTTCTCAATCCGAGCCTAACAGGGTCATGACTGATATCCGCGCAGACACATTGTTCTCTCTTTCAGTAGTTGAAGCAGAGGTTAATGAGAGCATACAGCAGAACCTCAAGTACGCCTGGGAGCACTATGAACTTCGGGTGAAACTCCGCGATGGAACAGTGCTGGGGGAGGCTCGCATGGCAATGGCACACGGCGAGTTGGCTCACATCCAGATGCTGGCAGGCCAGTACGACGACGCAATTCATAACGCCCAAATTGGTATCGATATGACAGAGGTGACCGAGGCGTACAAGAACGGTTCCGATTTCCCGACATTTGCAAGTAGCCACCAGGCCTTTGCGCTAGCAGCCAAGGGAGATTATGACAAAGCCATGCATCGACTTCAGCTTGCTTTGGACTACTGGACTACACACTCCTCCGAAGGACATCTGTTTCAGTTAGTTTCTGCCTCCCACCTCTTCAGTGTTTGAACCCACCGACGTGCATGTCATCATCAACGGGTTGTTCGATATCCAACCAGCTGACTAACATGACATGTTACCCCCATCAGACTAGGGATCGTACACCGGTGCCTTGCCTTTGTGAAGAGAAAACAGGGCTTATTGGATGAGGCCTTCGACAATTGCTTCGAGGCCCTTCAGAATTTCAGAAAGACTGTTGGAAGCAAGTCACACTACGTTGCGCATATGTGCAGCATTCTTGGGAGCTACCACATGGAGAAAATACAATATGAAACGGCGAGGTAGGTAAATCACGGCCTTTGTACATTGTTCTGGTCCGAGACCGAGGATTTCTTTCTTTCAAAGTCTTGGGCTAACTTCTGCATATTACTACCTTACCTAGCCTTTACTTGGAGGCAGCAGTGAACGGTTACCGGGCACATAGCTGTTACCGGGCACAGCTGGCACTGGCATTGTTTCGCCAAGGAAAATTACAAAAGGCCATGGGGGATACAGAGGCATCTGAACTGTCGCTCAGAGAGTCTATGGATTTATACAAAGATGTGTCCGGGATCGAAGATGTGATCGGACTGACCGAGGAACAGTTGCTCTCTGTCGTGCCTTTAATTTGGAGATAGGATTTGACAGATGAACAGATTATTCATGATGAGACGACAGAGGTACCGATCAAAGGTGCTTCAGGCAAGTGCAGAACCCCGACTTTCTTGTTTATTAGGTCACAGATTGTCAATGTTGTGGGGCACGTTCAGCTTTATGGCACCCATATCTTGGTTGCTTTTAGTGACAAGCATATGTTTCTGTATGTTTACTACATTTTTTTCCATAATTCTTTTTCTATAGCGCATCATTCATAAAACTTCGGATCTCGTCATTTCGCTTGCCATCAATCCTCGTGGTTTGTAGTTGAGTAGCCCTTCATCCCAAATGTAGCCTTTCGTAAAGTGCATCTACCTTCCATCGATGCAAATATTGTGATAGCATGCTCCTTCATCTTCGCCTTCTCACCACCTGACTCTAGCTTTACCTTTGTGGAGATATGATCCATGAGGATACTTGAAGATCCGAGCTTCCAGATGCTTGTCGTACCATTATTGACCTTGTAGACTCCCAGAGAAAAGTATGAACACTCTCTTTTGTGACCTGCTCAGGGTGGAGGGGTAACATCGACAATGATACGAACATGGAACGCGAACGCTGCAGTGAGCCTGAATATAGCATCTACAGGTAGAGTGGCCCAGCCAGTTGCTTCTCTATACATTATTCCGTAACACTAGTTATCGAGCCCATAGGACGCCAGACTTCCCTTCAGTTTCTATAATATATAGACTGAACGCATGTTATGCTAAGTCTTCAGATGCTCAACTTTGGCCGCCTTCCCGTCCACTCTCATCCCTCTGTGAACCTCTTGACCAGGCTGCTTTCCAGAAGCACAAAACCATAGAAGGAATCAAGATTCCCACTGTCGTTCCCACGTATGCAGCAATTCCCTTCCACATGTTGTCGTCTTTGAACTCAATGAAGTTCATACCATAAATCGATGTAACGAAAGACAACGGCAAAAAGAAGTAGGCGAGCACCGTGATACGTCCGATTTTATGGGCCTGCTCGGTCGACCTTCTTGCCTCTTGCATCCTGATCTCTGTTGTGATAACTGCCATCCCGCTATCGACTGCTTTCTTTATGGACTGTGCTCGGTGTAATATGGACCGGTAGTCATCCAACAGCAACTTTCGAGTTCTCTCGCGGGTATCGTGCATGTCTATTGGGTTCCTGCTCTCCGAGGGACCGTTGCCGATGCCACCACTGCCCCCGCTACGAAGGTTAGATCCGGCCCTGATTACAGCGGCTCGGTCTTTATGAGCGCTGGGCCACTGGGTATACCCTTCATTTTCGAGAAGATAAACAACCCGTTTGCTCTCGTCGATGGCACGCTCGACTAGGGTGGTTAGATGCTTCAAGTGCGCTAGCGACCAATTCTCAATGCCCTGAAACCGGTGAAGCGCGATATCGATGTGATACTTCAGTAAATTCAGGAGCTGGTGTTCTGAACTTGCTGCCATTGATATCAGTTCGCTGAATGCATACAATGCATCACGCCGAGCGAGGTTTGGGTCCAACGATGACCCATATTGACTGGCCAAGTAAAAGAAATTCGGATAAGGTGGTAAGGTCGCTCGATAGAACGGAGTATGGGGCTGGCTGCTAGTCGCCGGAGGAGGGGAAGCGGGTAACTCGGGTGGTGAGATTGCTATCTTCGGTCTGTGTAGAACAAGAGGTACGTAACTCTCTTGTCGTTCCGCCTGCCCATTGGCAGATTCCGTGCGTTGGACGAGCGCCTTATCACACTCAAGTGGAAAGCCGCTGTCCGTCCAGATAGTTCCTTGAAATAAACCCTATCAGCAATAAGCTCGAACATTACAGCACAAGGCACAGCCTATACTATAGGCAGTAGCAGTCTTCTCAGACAAGATCCTGTAGAAATGGTATCGAGTTGATTGACTTACCGATCCAACCGTCATCCTTTTTGCTGACACAAAAAGAAATATCCTGTTCAAGAACCGACGTCGTGCTGTCTATCACAGAATAGTGGCGTATAATTGGTGTTCCCTCGTCCGTCGTGGATCCAAGTCTCTGAAGGTACCTCTGGACATCCCGCTGAGCACTCTGCCGTCGACGTTCAAGCTCTTCAGCGTCAAGTGCGTCCCCGGGTAGTCTGAATTCGCAGATCGTCACGGTCCGGATTCTCCAGATGGATAATTGTTGGGAAGGGAGTGGCGGTTGGTCAAAGAGCTTGGTGGAAGCGAGGAAGCTGAGGTGACACCGAAACATCTCGGGGTCGAGTCCGCAGTACGTCCCAAGTAGTCGGAGCGAAGTTGGCGATTGCCAGCCATGAAGAAACACGAGTAGATTGGAGTTTGGCCCGAGATTTTGGCGCTGTGACAATATTTGGTCCAACTCGTCACGGATATTGATCGCAACGTGATGAAACGGGTTGGAAACGGAGTCGTTTTCTGGGTGAACCAAGTAGATCGGTCTGAAAGCCACATGGAGGTTCCCGGGTCCTTGGCTTAGAGATGGCGATGATGCAGAAATTTGACCAGTGCCTGTATTGGGCCCATTCTGTTGCGGATAGGTGTCCAAAAGTTCGCTCAATGGGCCAAAATGTCTACCGGGGACGAGATAACCCTCTGGGGTTCTGTCAGCAAATGAGCGGATCTGATCAGCAAATTGACGTTTTGGTCTAGAGCCTTTTGGAAAAGTTTAAGACGTCAGTACTTCGCTACTACCAGCGGTCAATCAAATAAAGTACCTAGGTACCCGAGTCTGGGTAACAAAACATACCTGGGTTAGACACAATGGAACCTGGACCTCCTGGAGAAGGTTGGGTTGAAACATCTGACATCTCCATGATTGGAGGCTTTGTCGCCGGAAAAAAGTAACATATCCGGGGAAACTGATGAAATCGATCAAACCAAAGACAAGTCGAGAAACTCGTGCTACCAAGACGGGGACGGCCTCATATTTAATGCTAGAGATGAGGCTTAGAATAATTAACAAGGCTCTTTGGGCTTCCGTCAGCATTTGACTTGCATAGATAGGTATGCAGCCTGAACGTTACGTAAGTGTCAATAACCAGTTCCTGGAGATATGCTGTGATGTGCCATGCCGAATCATTTGAAAGGATTGGGAATGGAACTTTCAGTACGCCTGTCGATGAGACACACGTGCCGAGAGAGAGCCTTAAAGACCCTAGAGGTGGGGAGGAATTGAGGTGAGTTCTGCCCTCAACGCAGCCTCACCGCGTTTTATTCCAGGCTTGTGTTTGTGATGGTGTGTAGGGGCGGGCGGTTGGGGTACAAAAATGAAATTTCTTTGGGGTGCAATCGATATTGGCTGGCTGAGCGCCAATGATGGAGAGTACCTACGAAAGTTGATGGAGGGGTGTGAACCACATCTCATGCCCGGGGGCGTGCACCTGAAGAGTAGGTCGAAGTCCTCTGAGCCTTGCAGGCACCCCCCATGCGGTGCCCTGAAAGAGTGCACCAGGGTGCAGTGCCCACAGTACCACTCTTGGCGGAAGTTCGTCACCCAAGCTTAGGAAACACCGGGCTGCCTCTAGGTGTCATCAGGTCATCCAAACTCATAACGGTTCGACCCATAGACCTGCAGTGACTCGGCACCAATTGTGAAAGGTGCTACCTAACTTGTGCTCTAAGATATTGAGGCCCGGGACAAGGCCTAGTGTTTCTGCATAGCTGCCCACTTTCAGGTAACAGTCAGTTGAAAACCCAACTCACCGAGCAGGAATGATTGGCTGTCAGTGGCGTCCATGCCAAAACGGGTGACGGCAGGTCACACTAGGTATCACCTGACTTGAATCAGAGAACTCGAGAGTGAGTTTCAGCGTTCATATCTTCTCACATATTT